TCCATATTTAATTTGTCATAAAATACAAATACTTACAATGATAAAGAAATAGTTATAATATAATGGTTGTATATAATAATGTGTAATGATGATATTAATGGCATAAATTCAAAACTCTTAAATTTATTTTTCTCAAATATAGAAACAATGAAGGGGAATATAATGCCTTGGGATATATTATAAATAGAAAAACCTGATGATGATGATGATGATGAAGGCACCATGAAAGAACTGAAAGAAGATTGAAGTCACTGGCTCTGAAAGGTAACATTTTTGTATTTCTATTCATGAAGGGAATATAAAAATATTTTCTTAGTTTTATTATTACAGTTGTCATTGGATCCATCCATTTCGGGAAATAATTGATTACTTTCACAGGCATATAATATTTTGATTGATGTTAATATTACTCCTTGATTGACGTTTCTCTCCAATAACATTTTAGTTGACAGCAGTACTGAAATATTCAGATTCGCAAACAAAGGCGAGTTTAATTCATTATGACATTGAACTTTCATATATTAACTACCTCCTTACTAAAAATAATTTTCCTCTCTTTCACAAAAATACATTCCCAAAACCTTTCCTCTTTAGGTCATGGACCCAGGTTTCTCTCTGGTATTTTGTTCCATTAGCAGTTACATGATAACTAGATCTCCATTCATCGACCATTCCATTGATTTTAAAAGTCATTTCAGATAAGTGTAAAGTCAATCAGATTTGTTTCAAATTAATAAAACACATATGAAGTAAAAACAAACCAAAATGGATTCCATTTGTCAACATGCACTTGTTTTTTTTGTTTTTACATACCTCCTGTATTCATTTACAACTGAAACTTACCTCAAGTGTGTTATGAACCATGTCTCCGACTTTTCATTCAAATCATTTTCTCAACTTTATGAGTGGCTCTTAATTATGATTGACATAATTTGTTTGCAGAATCCTTAAGTGTTGAGAGAGTCCTCTCATGGTTAAACTAGGATATGCCCTATTTACCTTTAAAGGACAAGTAATTTATGACTGGTTGGACGGGTTTTCCCTGATACTTGTTTGTGAACAGTAGCAGTGCCACTTGGTGGTGACAGTACATTTTCCTAAAAAATTATCATCTATAATAATCAATTAGTAGAGATCTGCATAGTACACTATAGGAAAATTATTATAAGAAGTTTAGATTTAATGCTTGAAAAAATTTCCTGAGGGCCTGCAAGGCCTGAAGGAAATTTTTGAATGCATTAAATCTAACCCAAGTATAATAATTTTCTGCTAGTGTACGATGCATGCTCTACTAATTGCTTTATAAGTCAATCGCCGTCTTTTATGTTAGTTTTGATGTAACTGTTGTAGCAGTCATTTGGTTGCTATAGTGATATGATCAGTAGGCCTATACTGTGTGCGTATTTACATTTAGCTGTGCATATGCTGATTTCTGCTCCTGTAGTATGTGTTAACTATACATCAGTAGTACTGTCAGTACGGATACGATAAATTACTATTGTAATTTGTATTGTGCTAGAAGAACTTATTGTAATGCTATTTTGATAGACATTCGTCAAAGACATTCAACATTTCTTAAAGCATTCGAGAGAGAATAGTCACTGACTTTTTGATCAGTGCAAACAGGTAAAAATCGTGCAATGATTTCATTCATAACTACGCTAGGCTACGGTCTAAGAGGAGGCCTTGGCGGCCTCCTGCCTGGCCGTAGGCCTACTGTACATCTAAATTTGTTAATTGAATCTTTAAAGTATGTCTAGAATATTCCTAATTGAATGTTCAGTTAGTTTGGTTTATTAGGCTTCTTACTTAATATTGAATTTGAAGTAACTTTCTTCAGGTTCTAATTAACCTTGTTTTACGAAAGTAATTTTCAATTATATATCTTTTTTCATCGCGATGTGGGATATTTTCGCGGTGACGAAAGATTAGGTATTTTTTTTGCACTCGAAACTAAAAGAAATCAAGCCAAATGTCCACTATTGAAAAATTATTGTACTGTGGGGAATAGGCAAATAACATTGGGTGTTACAGTGATGATGTTGCAATTGACTTATAATTATTAATAGTGGAGGTGTGTTTTTACTAGTATGTGGTACTTTAAAACATTTTGCAGTAGTTGTTTATGAATTGACTATCCACATTTCATATATACACTTTTGATTTCTGGATAGAAGCAGAACAGGCCTACATTGTAAGAATCAATAAAAGTTTGCATCCAAATATGGGATCCAATCTTCTTGGGGCTTAGTAGCCTCAGTCTCGCAGCTGGGGGGTCATCTCTTCTAAAACCATCCCTGATTGGGCTGTAGTCATTGGATCTGGATCTGGATCTGAATCTTGGTCAATACTGGCGAAGAACCGCGGTGGTATGCGCCAGGGTTGCATCTCTCAGTATGTACACAGTACATCAAACCAGACCAAATAAAACCACTTAGTGCAATATTAAAACCACATAACATTGGCTTGCCTCAAATAAGTTTATCATTTCCTCAGGCATTTTCTATTTTTGTAAGTTGGCTTCTTCTCTCCCTCACCCCCATCACTCCTGGTGCCACTATGTAAAATGATTCTAAAATGACTCTAAACAACATTTTCAAAGATATATAGTATGCCTTATGCCTACTAGATATCTTTGAAAATTGGCTATGTTGGTGTCTCTCCCTTTAATTTTTTATGCAAATACCATATTTATTCACATAAATACCCCGAGACATTTGAGGGAGATGTTTATTCAAAGTGGGCCATTTATTCAAGATAAATACAATATGTGTTTTTATATCATGGATAATTAGAATTTTATACAACACTTTATTTCTACTAAATCTTTGTGTGTTTATTGAAACTAGGCAAATAGCTAGCAACCCCACCCCCCTCCCCATGGAAGATGTATGCTTATTATATTGATATATCATACGATGACATGCTGTATCAACAAGAGGAAGGCTTCTATCTGTAATGGATACATTACCCATACTACAGGAAACATATGTGATACAAGAGCACATCATAGCCATGTAGGCCTATTCATAGTAACAGCCACACCTGTTCTATATCAGTAGTATGTATACAATATACTAAATCATAACTTGTGCGATCCTAAATGTATCCAATTATTATTTCTTAGTTTCAACGACAAGACTGAACTTAACATGGTTGTTTCCACAGGAACGCTATCTTTGATTCCAAAAATGATTATGTTTTTGTCTCGGATACAGGGTGCTATAGTTGCTCCAATGGGATAACCTCTTTTGTACTTTCTCTTACAATTTCCAGACATAGTCACTTTGATTTGTTAGTACTGTTTAATATAACATGGCGACGTAATATATTTTTTAATTTGAAGGCGCTATATAAAATTTATTTGTAGTTAAACTAAGGCATTGTTAAAGTTCTATTTCCTTCAAACTTAAATTAATACATCATAGTATTTTATTATATACCATTGATAAAGCTTGTTATCTTGTGCTCAGTAGCAAATTTTTTTTCCAAATATTTTTTTTAATTGTTTTAATAAACTTAATTTAGACCTGACAATAAATATCCATAATGTAATTGTGCATAGACAATAGTAGCTGGTACCAGTTAACCAGGGTAGCTTAGACACGAAGTGAACCTTAAGTGAGAAAAGTTACTGTATGAATACCTCAATTAGTGCTTTGAGACTGCTAAATCTATACTATGTTACATAATAACGTAAAATGTCTGTATTTTATGACGTCAATAGGCCTTAATGTTATGCGATGCTTACATCGTATGTAAACAATAAGAAAACAGTAGCACTTTATAGACTAGTTGAAATATGTATTGTCACAAGCTTTCGTGTACACAGTACACTTCTTCAGGTGAATGATAACAGGAGCAACATGCAATTGAATATAAAAGGTCTAAAATAAAAGGCAAGTAATAAAAACAATGGAGGTATTAACATAACAATACACAGTCAAGTTGCTTAATTATTTTCTGTTCACAAATTTCCCTATCTAGATCCCTAACTACAGCAACTCTAAGATTATTGATAGTGTGACCTGTGGAAGTGAAATGTTCAGCTACAGGTTTCTTAATTAACTTATGTCTAATGTCAAACTTGTGAACATTAATTCTATTTCTGAGAGTTTGGCCAGTTTGACCAATATAAACAGCATTGGGGCATATATTGCACGTAATGGTATAGATGATGTTAGTGGATGAGCAAGTGAAGTGTCCTTTGATGCTGATGATATAGCCATTGGGTCCAAGTATGTGACTTTCAGAATGAATAAGATGGCAAAGCTCACATTTAGTGCTGTGACAAGGAAAAGTGCCATTGATAGGTGTAGACTGAGAAAATTTACTAGAGATAAGATGCCTTTTGAGATTGGCTGGCTGTCTGTAAGCAAGAAAAGGCTTGTCATGAAATATGTGTTTGAGATCATTATCTTGCAGTAAAGGCTGAAGATTGTCAATGATACGTTGTAGGGGTTTTATAGCTGTAGGATATGTAACGACTAGAGGAATACGGCTAGATGATTGCTTCTAAAGAAACATAAACGCAATGATCTCCTCACATAAAAAAAGAACTGAACATTTCGCTTCCACAGGTCACACTATCAATAATCTTAAGAGTTGCTGTAGTTAAGGAGGGTAATTTTAAGAATAATCTAGATAGGGAAATTTGTGAACGGAAAATAATTAAGCAACTTGACTGTGTAAACTTGGGTTTAAACAAAGACCACGGCTTTCTTGCCCACTACAGGGAATGATTTCATTGTTATGTTAATACCTCCATTGTTTTTATTACTGCCTTTTGTTTTAGACCTTTTATATTCGATTGCATGTTGCTCCTCTTATCATTCACCTGAAGAAGTGTACTGTGTTCACGAAAGCTTGTGGCAATATATATTTCAACTAGTCTATAAAGTGCTACCATTTTCTTATTGTTTGATTACTGTTAAGACTAGTATGGCTCACCATATTATTTATTGAATATAAAGTTAATAATAAAATTACGTGGGACTCACCGTTGCTTTTAGCGGTTATTCGTATTACTGAGCAGATCGAAAATGAATATAGTTCTGAATTTTCTGGATTTAGCAATTTGAGCCCTGAACAACTTCTCTCCAGATTTAAGGGAATGTTTGCCGATGAAAAAATCAACTGGGGCCGTATAATGATAGTGTATCTATTGAGTGGGTTAATAGCAAAAGGAAAAAGCGAGAAACAGGTTTTAGCGCTCAAGAATTCTATTGGTCAATTTGTTGCTGAAAGGTGTTCTGATTGGATAGAAAAAAAAAGGAGGTTGGGTAAGTGTTCTAATTTTTTTTTCCTAGACTTCTAATCTTTTTTTGTGGCTTCTCTTATAGGAAGAATTGTACGGATCTAGATGATGAAGAAGGTGAAATCGATGGGAGTTGCAAACGTAATCTTTGTTTTCTTACTATAGCTGCCTCCTTTATTGCTTTCCTTTGTTGTAGGGTTTTACTTTCCTTTAGGTAAACTTAGGTAGACATAAGTTAATTAAGAAACCTGTAGCTGAACATTTCACTTCCACAGGTCACACTATCAATAATCTTAGAGTTGCTGTAGTTAAGAAGGGTAATTTTAAGAACAATCTAGATAGGGAAATTTTTGAACAGAAAATAATTAAGCAACTTGACTATGTAAACTTGGGTTTAAACAAAGACTATGGCTTTCTTGCCCACTACAGGGAATGATTTCATTGCTATGTTAATACCGCCATTGTTTTTAGTACTTGCCTTTTGTTTAGACCTTTTATATTCGATTGCATGTTGCTCCTGTTATCATTCACCTGAAGAAATCAACTGGGGCCGTATAATGATAGTGTATCTATTGAGTGGGTTAATAGCGAAAGGAAAAAGTGATTGTGGGAAAATTAAAACTCCGACGATGTAAATTCCTTCTTATTCTTATTTTGAATTAAGTTTGATGCTAATCAGAAAAGAAGCTTATTCAAATATTTAATACTTCTTTTGTTTTTATAGTATAAATATTGCCTGTTTTTTGGTTGTCTTTACACTGTTCTCTCTTGATTTCAGATATGGCTGGTAAAAAAATGTCAGACGTAGAACTGTTTGAACTTTTGGACTTCAACAACCGAGAAAAAATCATTAGAGAAATGTTGGCTATAGAGGACCAAAACTGGCGTTTCGATGATATATCAGATGAAGAACTTATGCAGTTACTTAATTTTAATTCTTTGCCTGAAATGACGAGAGAAATGATAGACACGGTAGACGATGATGAGTGGACAACCTGAAACTAATGTTAACGTGGAATCCGACGAAGAAAACCCTGACGATTCTCAGAATGATAACGTAAGTCAATTTTATGTTTTAGACGAAACTTTCAGAAGAGAAAACAAAACTTTTAATGCTCGCGAAACAGATCGTCAAATTACTTTTAGGAATCTAGATGGTAGGGACATGTTTAGTATCGTAGGAATTATATGTCAAATCTTTGATGTTTTGAACAATGTGTGTGATGGGGTTGCCCAAAATGATATGGTCTGCTTCATTCTTAGAAGTCCGGATTTAGATAACCCCATTTCAATCCCCTTTGGTAGACAAGACCATATTACTGAGGAGGTGATTGTATGGGCAATTGAAGATGTTCTTCAATCCCATTTGGATATTTTAGTTAATGATCAACTGATTCTTAATGTCCTACATGTTCGAATGCCCATTGGTGGGGGGAAAAAACCTATTCTTTTCCCTGACGCGCTTATACAAAAGAGATGCGTAATCGACATAAAAAACGTTGACGATAAAATGTGCTGTGCGAGAGCTATAGTTACAGGAGTGTCATGCCATGAAGACAAACTTGATAATAAAATTAAATGGGATAATATAAGGAGGGGTCATCGTTTGCAGGACGATCTAGCCCGACAACTCCACGAATCATCTAATGAACCAATAGGCCCTTGTGGCGTTGCCGAAATTAAGCTTTTTCAAATTGCCCTACCCGAATACCAAATTGTTGTGTTTACGAACGACGTGATGAAACCGTTCATTTTCCAAGGCCCACCTAAAGATAAAAAAATATATCTTTTACTACACGAAAATCACTTTAATTTCGTTACTTCCATTAAAGCTTTTTTTAATAATTGTAATTTCTGTGAAGATTGCCTATCATGTTATGACAATAGAGATAAACACTCCTGTAAGTATACTTGCTCACTTTGTCACAGTTCAGGTTGTTCCCCATTGTTTCGAAAGAAATTTCTCTTAACTGCACAGATTGTAATCAAAATTTTAAAAACCAACAATGTTTTCAAAACCATAAACTTAAACCTAAAAACAAACAAGGTTTTTCTAGCAGTGTCTGTG